CAGGGAGGCTTAGATAGGAGGAGGGGTTCTGGGGGGCAGTTAAGGGCAGGGGTCCCAGGAGGTGGTAGGGGACAAGGAGCGGGGGGGTTGGGGGTTCTGAGGGGGGCAGTCAGGGGGCGGGAAGTAGGAGGGAGTGGATGGGGGCAGGATGGGGGTGGGGCTAGGGCACGGTGGGGCTCCCTGGGTGCACACCCTAATGAAACGGGCTGCGCACGCCTATGATCAAGGTACAATATTATCTATCATCAGCTTGGCCTAGAGCAACTGATGTGGCTTATTGGCACATTCATCACATTAGCTCTCCCTGTCTCATCTCCACAGCTGGGTCCATGTATCGGTTTTCAGACTGCGGGCACCCGTGTTCTCTCACTCCCTTGCCCTTCTGTTGCGCTAGCGGTATCCATAGAACTTCCTTCCCCTGATTAAAATGAGCCAGGCTGATGGATCTCACCGACACGCACCTGGTTGTGACACAACTTGCCATGCACAACACCCAGCCCTCTGAGATCAGGCTTCCTGCACATGCTGGGTCTCCGTTCTTCCGCTCTGCGGCTTGCCATGGCCACGGTGCATCGGTGTCACCCCCAGGCACCGACGAGCAAGTGCCATAATCTAATGGGAATCAGGTGGAAACCAGTGTCAATGGTCCTATATATTACAGTAGCGCCTGTATTATATACATATACAAATTGAGATGCGGCTCCTTGTTGCACCAGGTGCTGTACACACACAGAATGAGCCTTTGTCTACGCACCCAAGTGGCACCGGTTTATCAGGTTGTTAAACTGGTTTAGTTAAACTGGCTCACAGCCCCATGTGGACACATTTTGCTTTAACTTCATGCAATTTTTTTTGACTGGATGAAGCCAAATCAGAATGAGCCACTCAAGTTGAAATGCTGACCTTCTCTACATACTAATTTAGATCCAATTAGAGCAACCCCCTGTGTTGACACTCCTATTTCAGTTTAAGAGTGGCTTATTTCAGCTCAGCTTAAATTTGGTCTTAAATCGATTTCGGGGCTTGTCTACATGACGGAGCCTTTGCTGGTACAGCTCTGCTGGCAAGGCCCCATAGTGGAGATGCAGGCTAGGCCCACAAAAGTAGTTCTGCTGGCACAACCGCACCACTTCCCTGAACAATATCAGCAATGCTCCCAAAGCACTCCTCTCTTAGTATTGTTGTGTCTACACAGGGGTTTTGATGCCACAGCTATGCAGGCCCGGGAGGGTGATTTCCCCCTACACTTGTAGCTATGTTTGCAAAACTTTGTAGCGTAGACCAAGGGTAAACTAACTCACCATAAGCCTGGTTTACACCAAAATACAAGTGCCTTTGGCCCTAATGTAATGAAAGTGGTTTCAAATCACACCTGAAGTTAAAACGCTGCAGGGAGACAAGGCCTCAGACTGGTGCTAGTTTGTGGGCAGAGCAGGCCTGAGAGACCGTCCCTGCCCCAGTGATCTTCCAGACAAAGGGGGAGAGGGAGGAAACGAACATAAACAAGAAACCATCTGATTCTTCTACGCTGGGCAGGACAGAAAGGAGGTTGGGGGAGGCCAAAGTTTTCTCATGCGCTCTGTGGAGTTGATGGGCAATAGGACCCTTTTGTTTATCGAGATGGTAAAAGTGGTTTTAGACTCTGGAATGTGGACTGCTTGGAATGTGCTAGGAACTGGACTGGGGCCAGCGTAGCTGGCGGCTGGAAGAATATGTTTGGGTGATGGCAGGGAGATTAATATGGAGGATTTGTAGGGTTACCGTATTTTGAGCCTCCAAAAGGAGGACACTCCACGGGGCCCCGTCCCCAGCCCCGCCCCAACTCCGCCCCCTCCTCTGCTTCCCGCGAACATTTGATTCGC